GTTAAAATTGAGGTTAGATAACTGAGCCATTATGCAGAGAACAGATATCTGCCTCTTACAGAAAAGTAATAATAGATTTTATCATGATTAGATCGAGTCATAAGTAACTTCCGGTTTTTTATCACAGTTTTCTTCTTGATTGGCGTGGATTATGGACCACTATTACCTTTGAAAGCTTCTCGTCAAAGTCGGAAGGACGTTCCGTCTTTCGAGATCGTATGTTCAGAACGAAATTTTATTATATATTTAAATTTCAATAAGGCTATGAAAAGAGGAATTCTTGGTGTGCGGCGTAATAGATCTACGGTAAACCCATTTCTGTGTAGATATCTGCATCTAATAGGCTCTAATAGGCCGAGGGAAAGGGAAGGAATAAAAACATCGTAACCGTATTAACTGAAGCGAATTGCTTGTGGTAGGCGTCTCTGTCAAGACAAAGCAAAATGTTTGAAAAGTTCAGCAATAATTCGGATATTCACATCGGACCTACGGCTAGAGGGGTACGTAAAATTAAAACTATAGCCATCTGGGTTATGGAAAAAAGAAAACTGGAAATTGTCGCTTGTACTAACTTTAATACGCATTGCAGGCGGCAAGATTCGAAATGTTCATTCTGAGATCGTTTTAACCTATTAACTTTTATGGACCGGTCATGTCAATTACGAAAACAACAACTAATGAGTCGTCCTAAATTGTTATCTCAACATATCTTTTGCATTTGGCAAAGTTGAACGGCATAGAAGTCTCGCTAGTATAGCATGGGTAAATCGATTCGAAAATTCCAAGTTAATATAGACTTTCGAACATCTCTCCCTTGCAAGACGTTAGATAAGAAATGATTGTCTATCCTTGGACTTGGGGATGATCTTTTATTTTGAAAAAAAACGAAAGACTAAAAAGAACGATAGAATGGCATTTTAGAATTGATGGTCTTGCGTGGATGGGCTTCTCAGTCGTCGTATTTACAAAAGATATCATCTGTGCGTGTATAGAAAAGTGAATATTGTTGGGAACCATCAACTCGTAACGAACCTTCGTGAACGAGAACCCTCATTCCAAATTGTTTCGAATTGTCGCTATTGAGTTTGTTCGATTAGCAAGCACCCTTGACACTTGACACTTCAAGGGCAATAATGTGCATATCTTCACGCTGATAGAGATAACTAGATACATCCCTGCCCTAAATTTTAGCATTCTACTCCTGTTACTTAATTCAGATAGTAAATTTCCCTCTCGATTTACAATAAAAGTAGTTTTTCAATTGTGTGATAAATTGGACGTACGAAGCACCCCTTATGGCGATGGATAAAGGAAAAGAATAAAAAAAAATTTTTTTTTTTTAAATTTTATTTTATTTATTTATATTTCACTTTATATTTTTTTGGAATTTTTATTTTTTTTTTTTTTTTTTTTTTTTTTTTTTTTTTTGTTGTGATTAGAACTCTTTTCAGTTTTCTTTTTTTTCTGTAAAGAAAGACCAAAAATGAATTATTTCCTTTTTGTTTATACAGTGTCCATATATATATATAGATATACATATACAGGGTGTACATATATACATATATATACGTGCATATATGCATATATAGATTTATATACGTATATATATATTTACATACATATATATATATATATGTGTGTTTATAGTGTATATAATAAGCATATATAAGTTTGAATGGAGTTGTGTATATTTGAATGTGTGCTTATGTAAGTTAAATGATTTAAAGAGAAACTCGTTTTGTTTTAGATAAAATTTAAAATTTTACTTAATTTTCTTTGCAAGATGGTTTATATATCTGTCGAAACTATTGTTGCTGATAAACAGTTGATGGTGTCTGGATGGTGGAGTATAAAGCAGCCATCTTTCCACAAAGTTTGTTGCTTTTTTTTTGTTTGAGAGAACACAACTACAATTTAGAAATGTTTGTGATTTACATCACACAAAATAAGCAAAACAAAAATTTATATATATATAAATGTATACATATATATACATATATATCAAACAAAAATGTATATATGTATATACACACGTATATATATATATATATGTATATATATATATATATATATATATGCATATATGCACGCATTGTGTACA